AAAAAAAAAAAAAAAAAAATTTGAGCCTCTCCACCCCCACATACGGACATTTCGGTTTTGAATTTCGGCTAAGTGCATTCTGAATTTTCGATTTCAGTTTCAGCACCAGAATTTTCATGTGCACCACTAGCTAGCAGCTATAACAGCCACTAGCGATAATCGCATGTAAAATCTGGTTGTACCCAAGTTGTTCGATCAATCAACTTAAGTATTTTCAGCTTTCCCATACATGGTTCAAATCTGGGCTGGTTCCTGCAAAACCGACCCAGATTCGAACCATCTTTGGCTGGCCTTAGTGAACACAGCGGGTTGCTTGCTTGGCACATGCGTTCATTCAAAGAATACTTTGCATTTCCTCAATGACTGCAAAGCATTCTCTGACTGGACAAAGTGAAGATTCTGACCTCAACGCCTTGCCTCTCCATCTCATTCAATCAGAGAACACTTTGCATTCTTTGAGTCCTGGGTGAGTGCACAGAGGCAGCTATGTGGCAGATACCCTGTACAAAGGTCTTAATCGAAAATGGAAGGCTAGTAGTCTCTGGAACAAGATCTGACTCTTGAGCTTATTAGGGCCAAGTGCTATTTCAGGCCTGATTAAAAATACTGTATGTTGAGCATTTTCTGGGATTAATACTTCTTTCCCTGCACCAAGCATGTGTGTCTTCCATGTTTGAAGTAGACCTTGCGGACTTTCTGTGAGTGCACAGAGGCAGCTATATGGCAGATACCCTGTACAAAGGTCTTAATCAAAGAATGGAAGGCTAGTAGTCTCTGGAACAAGATCTGAACCTTGAGGGTATTAGGGCCAAGTGCTGTTTCAGGCCTGATTGAAAATAGTGTATGTTGAGCATTTTCTGGGATTAATACTTCTTTCCCTGCACCAAGCATGTGTGTCTTCCATGTGTGAAGGAAGACCATGTGAACTTTCTGGCTTTTAACTTCATGGGAATCACCAATTCAAAGAGCCCCCTGTCGTTGCAATGCCATTAAAGCCAGCAGCAGTAAAGCCATATGGTAAACCGATTCTTGAGACAGAAGATCCTGAAAATCTGTAAGAGCACACATCCATCTGGGCCAGTCTAGAGCTATGATTATCATGGAATGTCCTCCATCTATCTCGTTCTTGCAGTTCCCTGTACCAATAAGGTGTTTAGGTCTCTTTCTTTACCTGTCAGGCTGGCATCCATTGTGAGGATCTTCTAAGTGATCAGTAGGATTTCTCCTACTCCTAAACTGGATTCTCAGAGCCACCAGGCCAGAGATAACCTGTTCCTTGGTGTCAGAAAAATGTGTTTTCTAAGAGGCAGAACTGATTTGCCCCACGAGCAAAGGATGATGAGTTTTGGGGTTCTGGAGTTCAATTGGTTAAACAGAACTGCCACGAAGGAGGCTACCATCCCCAGGACTCTCACGCAGAAGGGAAGAGTCAGGCAACTCCAGGATAAGACCCAAATACTCCAAGGGATGGCCCCATGCTAACATGTGAGGGTTCGGGATCCAGCAAAACTCTTTCAAGGTGTGAATTATCAATGCCACAGCATTGGTCAGAATTTGTACCAACTGCTCCCTCAACTGGGGAGGGCCCTGGGAGTGTAATAAGGTGAACAGAGGGGCCAGAACTTTGTGCACTTGGCATGTAGAACAGGCCAAAGGCATGGCTACAAGCTGGAAGTGTTGTCTGTTAATCAAGTATTAAATCCTGCCCACAAGGAGTGTGCACAAGATACAAGACAACATTGGATTTCTGGCACACACAAAAAAGATTTCAATTGTATAATTAAAGTGTATAGATACCCCAAACATTTTCCAGGTCTGGATAGAGTGAAGAAGAGTAAAATCCCTGTCAATTATTTTTTTTCCTTTCTCTGTCCCATTGGGAAGATTTCCCTTCACTTCCTGTCAGAGAAACTAAACAGTAAGTGAGAGAAAATCTGTACAAAGTGAGGGGAATGTTCCTACTAGACAGTTGTCCCGATTGCAAGATTACCCCTCTATTTCTTTTTTGGGAATTTCTGTAAAAATGTGGATTTCCCGTTAATTTCTGTTTCAGTAACAGTGGTCACCAGGACAAATAGGGTGACTCTCCCCACCAGGGACTCTGGCAGCAATAAAAGCATGATGGGGGTTCTAACACTCCTGATTCTATAAACTAAAATAAAATGTTTGGGCTATACATACACTTTAACCACTTGCCAACCACACTATAGCCGAATGATGGCTACAGCGCGGTTGTCCAGTTCTGGAAGGGCGTCATATGATGTCCTCCCAGAATGCGCTCTCCCACGTGCCCCCAGTAGCGCACACCCAGCGCTCTCTGTGATCGCTGTGTCCAGACACAGCTGATCACATGATGAAGTAAAAGGCCAATCATAGTTGCCTTTTACCATGTGATCAGCTGTGTCCAATGACACAGCAGATCACAATGTAAATACAGTTGTGTCGGCAGCACTTTCCTCACGCTGTCACAGCAGGAGAAAAGTACTGCAGATAACCGGCAAATGACCGGCATCTGCATCGATGATCAGTGCCCTGATGATCAGTGCTCAGCAGTGCCTCCCACCAGTACCTATCAGTGCCCAGCAGTTGCATCCATCAACTGGAAGTTGAAAATTGGCCTGGACATGAAGGGGGTAAAAGTGCCCGGTAGGCAAGTGATTAACAAATACAAGGTAGCAACTGAGAGAAGTTCATTCCCAACCTGATGATAATTAAGTATTTACGTGTATGTCTGTATTTTTTTTGTTTATGTATGTATTTATGTGCAGCGACTGCCCCACATACATTTACTGCAGCAGGGTGGTCGTTGTGCGCTGGATCACATATCTGGTATGTTATCAGCGCTTCCAGGTAGGGCTCACGTGCCTGCTTGCTGCCCTGGCTGTGCTGTGATTTGTTACAGCACAAGCTGATCAGAGGGTCCAAACCAATGATTGGTTGCCGGGATCTGCTTATCAGCTCCGTGATTCACAGAAGAAAGCTCTGTGTTGGTAAACAACACAGAGCACTGTACACTGACAGGCGATCTTGCAAAGCAAGGGAAAAAAAATAACAAGATCGCTTAGTAAAAACAGCACACTGTACAGATATTACACATAGTTAGGCACACATTTAACCCCTAGATGTTAACCCCTTCCAAGCCAGTGTCATTAGTACAATAACAGTGTATGGTATTATCACTGATTACTTTATTAGTATTGGTGGTGATGTCAATGTCAGTTAGTGCATATTTTCAGTTGAGTTTTTATAATTTTGGCTAATTTTAATAAAAAAAATACCACCAGTGGTTATGAGAAGAGCACTGTATATCCTCTTCTTTTTTGAGAATTTTTTGAGCATACATGAACACTTGTTAGGCACACAGTTAACTCCTTGATTTCCCTTAGATGTTAACCCCTTTCCAGCCAGTGCCAGTATCTTCCTCTCTAGCTCCCTCATCACCTCCTCCCACGCTCTCCTCTAGGACTACTCCAGAGCCTCTCCCATCCTCTGGAACTCCCTACCACAGTATGTCCGGTCAGCCCCCACCCTGTCTGCCTTTAGGCTATCTATGAAAACTCACTTATTCAGGGAAGCCTACCCCACCTCCACCTAAGAACTGTACTTGAATCACCTCCACCAGATCATCCCCTGCAGTTATCACCTTTTGTATTATCTCCCCCTTCCTTTAGATTGTAAGCTCCATGAGCAGGGCCCTCCTATTCCTTCTGTACTGAAATGTATTGTAATTGTACTGTCTCCCTTATATTGTAAAGTGCTGTGCAAACTGTTGGCGCTATATAAATCCTGTATAATAATAATAATAGTACAGTGACAAAGCATATTATTAGCACTGACCTCTGTATTAATGTCACTGGGGATGTCAGTAGCAGTTAGTTAGTTCCCCCCCAGTGTCAGATAGTGTCAGATTACCCACCACACTATCGCAGTCCCATTATAAGTTGCTGATCACCACCATCACTACTAGTATAAAAACAAATAAATAAATAAAAATTCCAGTAAAAATACCATAGTTTGTATAACTTTCCCGCAAACCAAATAATATACACTTATTGAGTATTTTTTACCAAAGACATGTAGCATAATACATTTTGGCCTAAATTCATGAAGAAATTAGATTTTAAAAAAATTGTATTGGATATGTTTTATAGCAGAAAATAAAAAAAATATTGGAGTTTATTTTTCAACATTTTCTGTCTTTTTTCATTTATATAATAAATAATAAAAAACCCATTGGTGATCAAATACCAGCATGTACAGTGTTACATGACCATGCAGTTATCAGTTAAAGTAGCACAGTGCTAAATAACAAAAAATATCCTGGTCATGAAGGGGGTAGAAACTTCCAGAGGGCAAGTGGTTAATAAATACTGCAGAAAGCCAGAATATTTCGAGAATCTGAACACAGTGCTGGATCTCCTTTCTATATATAAATATATATATTTTTTACCATTAAAAGTAGGCCTACACTTTAATTACATTTTTTATTGCATAGATATTTAATCTGCTCTCCCCAAACATTCCTGGAGGTCAAGATGGTCATGAGTGATTTTAATCTGTCAGCATTGTTATTTACAACAACATATATCAATAAAAAAAGAGGAATGTCTGCCCATGTGGGAGGATGCATCCCAATATAAAGCGTGCTAACTCCTCCTGGCGAGGGAGATGGTTCACTCCGGTCAAGAATGTGAACACAATCTTCTTGCTGGCAGTAAGAACATTCCACAGATTGAAAGGTAAATTGTATATATGAAACAATATGACATTAGCCTTTTTGATGTTCGACATAGAAAATGGTTGCAATACAGCAAAAAGCCTATGTCAAGAATAATAACTGCACTGATGAAAAATATATATTGTGGATGGTGTATATGTGTCACCTAGTTTCCTGGGTCTCCGTCATTTATGACGGGCAGGGGCGGACTGATCTTTTGGAAACTCGGGCACTGCCCGAGGGCCCGGGGTCAGTAGGGGGCCCCATGAGATGCCCTTGGTACCTTTTTCATAGGCTTTTTTCAGTTTGGGCAAGGACACAGGGGCCCCATGATCCCCTATTGCCCGGGGGCCCCATGAGTTGTCAGTCCGCCCCTGATGACAGGTAAAGAGAAAATAAACTTGCATACCTCTCAACTGTCCCAGTTTCTGTGGGATTGTCCTGGCATTTGAGCTAAATCCTGGGGTCCCATGCACTCAATCTGTTTTCTGGCACTGGGTCCTGGAACGCTCATTCCAGCATCCAGTGCCTGTGAAATGACTATATACCAGACAGAATGGGTGGGATTTTAATTATGCATCTAATAGTGAAAACAACAAGCAAGTAAAATTTATACAAAATTTTATTACAAAATTCCTTATTTACCACCTCAGCTTCGGAAGGTTTTATCCCCTTCATGACCAGACCATTTTTTGCTATTCAGCACTGTGCTATTTTAACTGGCAATTGCATGGTCATACAACACTTTACCCACTGGGTGTTTGATTTTTTGCGATATAAATGTAAAAAAAATGGAAATTTTGAAAAAAAAAACACATTTTTTTACTTTCTGCTATAAAACATATCCAATAAAAATTAATTTTGGCCAAGATGTATTGTGCTATATCTTTGATAAAAAAAAAAAATCACAAAAAGTGTATATTGTTTGGTTTGCGTGAAAGCTATAGCTTCTACAAGACGATATATTTGATTTTTTTTTTATACCAGTAATAGCGGTAATCAGCGAATTATATGGGAATTGTGATGCACGGTGAGCAATCTGACACTAACTGCATGGGGGGGGGGTTAACTGATTAACTGCCACTGACATCAACAGTGACATTAATATAGTGATCAGTTCTAATTCAGGTATACCTCGGTTTACGAACACCTCAGTTAATGTAATTTTCGGTTTACTAATGAAAATCCTTTGAAAATAGTGGCTCGGTTTACAAACTTTTTCGCAATACGAACGGATTAATTTGTTTTCAATGCATTTACATCATGTCCCTGTACAGTATTATATCTTTAGAGTGCACTTTATAAAGAGTTTTGAACAGATAAGACTTTTTTTTTTACTTTTTTCTGACCTCCGGAACGGATTAATTGGTTTTCAATGCATTTACGATTTTTTTTCACAATACGAATGGATTAATTGGTTTTCAATACATTTATGAATTAATTTTGAATCATGTCCCTGTACAGTATTTATGCCTTTAACGTGCACGTTATAAAGAGTTTTGAACAGATAAAAGACTTTTTTTTAAACTTTTTTCTGACCTCCGAAACGGATTAATTGGTTTTCAATGCATTCCTATGGGAAACCGCGTTTCGGTTTACAAATTGTTTGCAATACGAAAAGCCCGCAGAACAAATTAAATTCGTAAACCAAGGTAAGCCTGTACTATACACAGTCATTGTACTAATGACACTGGCTGGGAAGGGGTTGACATCTGGAGGGATCAAGGGATTAAATGTGTCCCTAACAATGTGTGTAATGCATGCTGCTTTTATTAACAGATCTCTTTGTTTCTTTTTCCTGCTCTGCAGGAATAAGAAACAGAGAGATTGTTCCCTCTGCACAGAGCCCTGTGTTGATTGTCAACGCAGGGCAGTGAGCTGTGATTGGACACAGCCGATCAGTAGGTCCTGGCCAACAATCATTGGCCAGGTCTTGCTGACAAACTCCAGCTGTGTACAATCACAGCGGGTGTCGGCGGGTGGCGCACATGCGCATGCCCTAAACCCGGAAGCAGGCAACGATGTAGCAGTACATCGCTTTGCCTGCACGGGCTGCCTGTCCGCAGTACATTGTGGGTGGCCTGTCCTAAAGTGGTTAAAAGAGCCCATAGGGTATTTACAAAGAACAGGCATTGAAACACAATACACCATATAAAATGTAATAGAGAGCGCAATGAGGTCAGTGTACTGGTCTCTGCGTTTTGTGTGTTTTTAGGTGACTGATCCACAACTCCAATAGTGTCCCTCCCTGATGCCGTCTTTTCTGATGTCCTCTCTGTATGGTAAAGGTGAACCTCACGAAAGCAGATAAATCCAAGTTGGCACCAAACCCGCCAATGACTTCTAATTGCCCTCGTATTATTGGCCTATAATCCAGGTGGCCTCATTATTCTCCACTACTAAGAAGCAACACATCTTTGCCACCCATCTAATGATTAGGTTTTGAAGGTCACCTTTCTGCTTTCTCCACCTGAAGACTCCTTCCTACTGTCCTCAATTCCACTACATAAGGACTAATTGTTCTTTAATCTAGGAAACAAACTGGGAGGACTAAGTACTCTCCTTGAGATAACACAGAAAGTGTGCACAGGACACAGGACAGCTCTGAATTTGTGACTAAAGCTGGCCATAGATGGATCAAAATTTGGTCAGTTCAACAGGGTCTAGCTGAATTATGATCCATGTGTAGTCTTTCCTGTTCAACAGAAGTCAATCATTATATCAACTTCTGAAGAAGGGGAATGTTCGAAAATGTTCGTCAATCAGTGGCTGCAGCCAATTGGTCATAACCACTGATCAGTGTCTTCCGACAGCAGAGAGTCCAGCTGTCAGAATATAATATCCCAACAGAGGGGGGATTCCTCCCTCCACCTTGCTATGGTGGATTGAGGAATCTGTTTGCTTTTTTTCATTTATATTTTTCAGTGGTGAATGGTTCAACTTTCAATGGTGAATTAAACAGACCAAAAGGTAGCAAACAAGGGAAGTTCATTGTTTGAATTTACATACACTTAATTATATGTACACTTATGCAGAAGTGCTCAACCCTTTGAAGAGTGAGGGCAAGTTTGGTGATTTGGTAACCGGTCATGGGCCACAATGAAATAAAATGGTTCAGAATTTAAATTTAAAAATTTTGAACAGTATAATGAGGATTTTCCTTCTGCTGCCACTGAATGCTGGCTGGGAGGGAGAGGAGGAGAAATCGGCTTACAGCAGTTGTAGGAAGAAAATGGAGAGGATTGGTTCCTTTATATGCTGCCTCCGCTGCCCCTTCTGTCCAATTGTAAAACAGAATGTGGGAGATAGGCCGCACGGGCCCCCTGGAGCATTGGGTAGTGTTGCCATTGCGACCCCTGATGCTACAGTGGTTGGGGGATTTTAACACCCCCAAACTGCAAATGTAAACAAGCTCTTACTATCCTGAGCCTCCTATTAGGCTGCTTTCACACAGATCTATGGGTGTAGCACAGTACACCTGCAATTTTTCCTGCGGATTAACTGCACTGAACCAAGTAGTGTATTCAGGTTTTGTGCTGCCCCTGGCAACACAAAAATCGTCTGCCCCATAGACACCGACCAACATCACCCCTCCCCCCTCTCCCTCCTGCGGAGAAAACCTGACAATGCTGACACTGACCAACAACACCCCTGCCCCCCCACCTGGGAGAGCCTTCCACTACCCCCCCCCCCCCGGCGATAGAGAAAAAGACACTCATCTTCACAGCTCCCCAGAAATGAGAGTCAGGCTCTACATACACCATCAATCAGCCCACAGCCTCTCTCAGATCCCATCTGGTTCCCATGGCAAGCTTGTCCCTTCTTTCACATGCCTTCTCCTGGGGGGAGGTGCTGTCCCCTGAAAACTGCTGCCCTAGGCAAGTGCCTTGTTTGCTTTGTGGTAAATACGCCCCTGACTGAACCATAGATATCTGTTATATCCTGCGGATGTGGTGCACTTTCTGAAGAGCCCCAAAGCTCCCACATACAATAGAAGTCTGAGGCTCAGTGCGACTAACCTGCAGGAAAGCTGCAGTTGCACAGCACTGCACCCATGGATCAGTGTGACAGCAGGCTAATAGTTGTTAACCCTTTTCTAGGTGCTAACATGCCCATTGAAAAAGCACATTGTATGTGTTGTTTAAGACACTGGCCTTATTTGTCTCTTCCAGCTTCTGCTGCCATTGCTCTCTGTCTCCAGTCTGCTAGAAAGGAGAAGTGCACTTGGTATCATTCTGCTTGGGACAAGAGCCTGCGCTACAGAGTAGGAATCAGCTTATGTGGCTCCAAGTCCCTCCACGGCCGCCTGCTATCTCCGCTGCTTCTGGCATGGCACATGGCAGGATGGCAGGGATGGCAGATCAGCAAGGCCAGACTGTGATCAACAGGTTGCCAACCCCGGACATGAGCTTCCTTGGTTTGAGGCCATGGGTTGAGCACCCCTGGATTAAAGGATACCTGTCATGACACAAAAATCTTGTACAAGCAGGCAGTGATTTGACTCATCGTGATGCTGAATATGTTCAGCTCCACTTCCCTGGAACTAATGCACATTCTAAGTAAGAGAAAGGCAAATTCTATCCTAGGCTAGGTGCACAATAGCCCGCAGTCAGGAATCACGCCTGTTTCCACACTCGCAACCAGTCCGCACCCAAATCGTGCTGCTCTCATTCTGAATGGCGCATGCGCGCATCTCTGTCCACAGCGCATTTGCAGGAACCTCAGGGAAACCACATGTTCAAAAAGACCATGTATTTTACTTGTGGCCACGTTTTTAAAAAGGTGCAAGCACTTTTTTTCTGTGGGATAAACAGACACATAAATAGGCAGCTGTGCCCAAGCAAACATGGACCGCAAGGCCTCTGTAGTGTGAACCTAGGCTAAGTGTTGTTACTCAGTATCTTCTCTACAATGTTTTCAGTAAAACGTGACGCATCCTCTTTAAATATCCAGCATGTGAACACGTATTATGTCCAGATGATGTTACTGAGGGACGACAGGTGTCTTTATTTTGTTTAAAGCGAAGAGGGGTTTTCCCGAGAATCTGTATACTATTGCACGTTACTTTTATGAAGAGTGGGCAGAAGTTCCAAGATGTGATGTCATTCCATTCTCCCAGCTACAAAACCTTCCATAAATCATGAAATATTCATAGAACACAACAAAGCTTGGGATTCCATGAACGTTGTTAGGACTTCCCCTCTAGCAAAACTCAAAAGTCATCAATGTAATGTTTTACGTTTGCATTGTCTGAAGAATTTTATGTGTGGAACTGGCTGGAGAATAATTATCCCGTTATTACAATGGCCTGCAAACATATTTGCTACTCGAGATCGTCTATCAGTTACCCTATATGC